GTAAACAAAAACTAACTCAAAAATTTGATAAATATTTTATATTTAAATTTTATGTAGTTATTATATTTCAATAATCATTATATATATATATATATATATATACATATATATATATATATATATATATATATATATATAGATATATATATATATTATATATATATATATATATATATATATATATATATGCTTTAATTGATTAAGTAATTAAATAAAGTTAATTTTTCACTTTCTTACACGTACATTTCATGGTTGAATTTAAATCAATAATGAATTGATTTTATATAATAATTAAATGTACTATAGTAAAAAAACTTTTCTCTCTTTTATTTTTCTATATTTTTTTAATATATGTAAAATAATAAACTGGATCAATTAATATAAGACAGAGGAAATATTTCTCACTTTGAATAATTCTTAATTTGACACACACACAAATTTAAATGGCTAGGCACATTCACACAAATGGAGAAAAATAAAAGACAAACTATTTAGTCAAATCAGCAAATACCATTTAATTGATTTTTCCTTTTATTTTATATTTTGATGAGAGTGTGTCTAAACCATACTTAAATAGCAAGTTAATCAACAAAAAGTTATAGAATCTTTTAAAGTGATCTATTATCCTTATCACACCATACATAACAAATCAATCAAACAACAAAACATGATTATTGAAGTAGTAGTTAAATTAATTAATCAATCAAGTTAATGAACTAAACCAGGCCCCTCAACCTAAAAAACATTCAGACAAATTGTTAGTATTAGCTTTGGCGCTCTAATAAATGTTTAGGTTACTATTCCACCAAATTTGAAAAGAAAAGGACATTTTAATCAATTACACACACAACACAACAGTATATTTAATGATTGATTATTAATGATTAGTACTCTACTTTACTTTATTTAAATTGTTTTTTTTTGTAGTATACAAAAATAATAAAAAGTGGAACAAGACATGTAAACCTACCTCGTAAAGAGAGTTTTGTGTTGAGAAGGGTAAAATCATGTTTTCTTTTCTTTCGTTCTTGTTCTGTTTCTTTCTTTCTTTCTTTCTTTCTTTCTTCTCACGTGCGTCATCCATCATCAGTGTTATGTTACCGTCACTATCACCTTTCATTTCATTGCTCATAATTAATATTAAAAAAATATTTTAAATAGTATACTTTATTTAACATATTTAATTATTATTTTTAATAAATGAGTTTAATTTCAAAATTTATTATGATTTGAAGTTGTGACATATAGTTTTCAGGAATAAATAAGAAAACTTTTAAAACTTAATTAATCTCCATATTTTATAAATTTTGATCTCTTTATTTTATCTGAATTACGAAATTAGTTTTCATATTTTATATTAAATAATTTTAATTTCTTTATATTAAATTTAAATAATTTTGAATTTTTTCTCATATTTTACACTTAAGATTAACAATAATTATATTTTTTAAATAGTTATTTACTTGTGAAATATAACAAATTATTATATATAAATTTATTATTTAATTTATAATTAAAAATATAAGTTAGAAAATAAATATCAATTATTTTATATGAAAAACTTAATACTATTTAAATTTAAAATAAAAAAATTAATTTCATCGATCTCACAAATTCAAAACTGTAATTTAATACATAAATTATTAATATTTATAGAACTATTCAAATTCATCATATTAAAATTATAAAACTAACTTTTTACCACTGAATTTATATATATAAAGAAGTAAAAGTATTTGCTTTGTATTTTTTATTTTAATAATTTAAATATAATTTAGTGAGGCTTGTTTGTTTAAAGTATGTTGAAATGTTCAAATAGATTCACAAGTGATTAGAGTAAAATAAAGAGATATGAATTATATACTTTAATTATTTTTTATGTAATTCAGGTAAAATTGAAATATTGTTAGTTAATTTAAAGGTGATAAATTCTCTGCAACTGCGATCAGAAGAGAATTGAAACTATTTGATATTACTTGATGTCATAACTGAATTCTAAATCGGACTAGATTTGTGGTAAAAAGAAAAAAGTGGAAATTATAATTATAATTATGGTATTATAACTTTCTCTTATTTCTATTTTTTAAAATAATTTTTTAATTAATTAATTAATTAATAATATCCATTATGTGCATAATTTATAAATTAAACATGATTTGATATATATTTTAAAATGTAAAATATTAAATTTAATTAATGAATAATGACAAATAAAAATGGGTATTTCTTTCTCCACCCTTACACTTTCTTAGTCACTTCTAACAAAATTTCATTTTCCTTCTATAATTCAGAAATGTATTTTTAAATTCACAATTGTTTATTATTTTTTGGGTTTATTTCGATGATGCGTTTGTGAAACTCTTATTTTTTCAAAATCAAAAGTGTTTCGGAGATGCATCTTCGAAAAAGATATGACAGAGACAAAGTACGAACTACCTACCGACCTTTGCTCAGTTCATCAAGAAATATAACTCTCAAACTACTCCAATAATTCTCCTAAAAATCTCTATTTTCAAAAGTCACTAAAGTTGGTGTACGTATTTTCCCTTGTTACAATTCACTCCAACTCTCAATTTCATTGCAATTCAACAACTATAAAAGCTTCAAATTTGAGAGTAAGTTCTCCAATCTATTTTAATCTTTGCATTTATATTTTTAGTTGTTTAGTCTGCACAAACTGAAAAAAAGCTCCCTTTTAGTTGTAAAAATTGGGTTTTAGGGTAACATTGATGATGTTAGGTTGAAGTTTGAAAATGGAAGTCGCAAATTTTTTCGATATACACAGTGAGGATCAGCCATACACAGTAGTGGACTATGCTTTTTGGACTATGCTTTTTTTTGTTTTTTTTTTTTAGAATAATTAATGAATAATTATTGTATTAGTTTTTTTTAATGTTGAACAAGTTATTCGTCAATTATCGTTATTTATGTCTTATCATTTTTCATTTACGTTTTTATTATTGTTTTCAACTAATTATTTATCAAGATATTGAGAATTAAAAAAAAAAATTACTCTCCAAGTTTTCAGAGATGCACTTCCGAAAGTCCTAAAACATAGTGTTTGAGAGATACAATCTTTGAAAATATTACTACATGTTTAAATATAACGTCCAAATTTAAAAAAAATATTTTTGAAGATATATATTTAAAACACCTTAATTTAGAATATATTCAGAAATACAATTTCAAAAGATATTTTCAAGTTTTCAGTAATTTTTCTCCACTTCTAAAAAATATCAAAGAAATTTCCATAAAAATTTGTCTCCACTTTAAATTATATGTGCCAACAACTTTACATTCAATTTTAAATAATTATTAAAAAATAAATTTTTTTATAATTTATTATAATATATATTTTTATTTTTACGTCAATGATATTAAAAATACTATAACCAAACCAATCAAACTGAACTAAATTAAATCACATTGATTTAGTTTAATTTGATTCTAATTTTTTTTAAAGTCAATCAAATCAAATTAAATTATTATTTTTTATTATGATTCTGATGATTTTTAACGTCAAATCTTTTTAAATTATACCATAAACGTTCCTGGATTTAATAGATTATTTCACATATTATTAAAAACATGTATAACTGAAAGATACAATAATATTTTTAAGCAAATAACCCATTATCAAATATTGTAAGCGATGAAAGTAGTACTCATTAAATGGCATAGTTAGAAAAATGAATTAAATTTGGATTGTAAATTAAAATGAATATTTTTTTTACAATTAGTTAACTCATCAAAGAAAGTAAGGGATGCTTTTCAATAGAGGTGACAAGTCTAATTTGTAGGCATGTATGTTTAATAGTGAATCAAAATTTTAAATCCACACTCTTACCTATTTTTACTCTAATTTTTTTTTCCTAAATATTATAAAATTTTATATTTATGTCCGTCCCGCTCCTCTTATTTTTATTTTTATTTTTGAAATTTGATCCATGTCCATTTTAATCTAAACAAGAGAGTCAATTATTGTTACAAAAATCTGATAAAAGAAGAAACTTAAGAAAACGACAAAACCCAAAAAATCAGCTTTGCATGATGAGAAATGTTATTCTTACTAGTCTTTTACATTTTGAATTCACTTACACACCAAAAAGTATTCTTAAAAAAATTCCAAATCTTTACTTAATTACTCTCAAATCATCCTCAATAATAATCATGAAAAAAAACAATATAAAAAAAAACAAAAAATACAAATTTTCTTTGACAGTAGTATATAAAAGCTGAACATGATGGGAATACATACCCCATTCCAAAAATATCTGCAAACACACAGAACCAAGAAAACCACCTACAACCGGCTATAGCCAGTCACCATCCGGTCACCACAAAACCCTACTATACATCCTATCTACACTTTCTCTCACTAACATAACACCAACAATAGCAACATAAGCTTCTTCCTTTCATAGTTTCCACTTTGTTTCCTTGTTCCTAAGAAACAACAATCTGCACTCTTTCTCAGACACTTGTGTGTTTTTTTGTGTGCATCAAATTCTCAATCACTTTGACGTATCAATTTTTTTCCTGTCATCATAATATTAAACTTAACATCACCATTAATTATTATACCTTCTTTCTTTTTTTGTCACTTCCATCACTTCAATCCAGCAAACATTTTTTTTTATTTAATTGTTTAGCATTCTTTTTTTATTTGACTCTAACTCTTACTCTCTTTTTTCTTTTTTATATATTTTTATTTTTATTTTTCTCTATCTATGGCTAGTGATGAGGGTTTTGAAGGTTACCATGTCCCACAACAAAGTAGAAGAGATAAGCTTAGAGTTGTTGTGGCTCAAAACCAACAACCTCATGAGCCTTTACTTCCTTTCTACGATTCATCTTTCATTACTAGCTTCTCTAACCAACAAGTTTTGAAACCAAATTCATGTTCTTCTTCTAATTCTATGAAAGATTTAGAATGTTCTAATTTCATGATGCGTTTTTCAAGAGAAGAAGGTAAAAGGGTTATGAATAGTAATAATAATAATAATAATAATAATAATATTTCTCCTTCTCCTTCTTCATCTAATCATCCTTATTATGAAAGTTTGAATCATAGTAGTAACCCTTTTCTCTACCAAGCACAAAACATTCAGAATCTTAGAAATTTTGATGAAGTACAAAATTGTAGTAGTAGTACTAGTACTATGATGTTGAACCATGAGCCTTTGTCTTTATCACTTTCATCTAATAAAAGTGTTGGTAATAATAATTTGCCTTTGGAGTTGAATCTTCAAAGATATGGATCTGTGATTTATGGTGGTGGAGGTGTGATTCAAGGGCTGGTTGATGGTGGAGGAAGTGGTGGTTCAGTTCCTTTTACTGGCTATGCTTCTGTTTTGAAGGATTCTAGGTTTTTGAAACCTGCTCAAGAATTGTTGGAAGAGATGTGTGAGGTTGGAGGAAGAAATGTTTGTGGTGAAAAGGTTGTGGTTATGGCAGATTCTTCTTTGATGATGGAGTCTCCTTTGGAAAGATTCAGTGAAGAAGAAGATCCATTTGGTGATGGTAGAAATAAATCAAGACTCTTAACTATGCTTGATGAGGTTTGTTTTTTTTTTTTCAATATTTTTTCTAATTTTTTAATGATTTTTGTTCTTATCTTATCATTGAAAATTATCATTTTTGTGATATGTTTTTATTTTCTATTTTTTTAATGATTTTTCTTATGTCGGTTGAGTTCATGTTTGATGTCACTGTTGATTTGGTTTTTGTCATTTTCTAAATATTTGGTGATACATGTGTTAGAGAATCTAAATACTTTCAAGTTGATTGTTTTTGTTCTTAATGTTTTGTGCTTACTATTATTATAGTAATATTAATGTATATACTTAATGATTAATTTCTTTAATTATTCCTTAAAAAAAGTTGAAAGGTGGTTTTGTTAGTGGAAGGCTAATATAAGGTTTGATTGGTTGCATGAAACAATGTACATTATGATTATGTTAATTTGTATAGATTATATTTTAGTTAACTTAATGGATAATCTAATCTATATTATTCTATGTACATTAAGATTCTTGCATTTTTTTTGGGTGATGGATGGCCTCGGTTAACTCAAATGGCTTTTTTTGGAAAAGTTAATGGGAGAGAATATATGCATGGAGATTGGTTTAAAGTTGTGTTATTATATGCATGCCAACCATATATTTCTTTTAAGTGAATATGTCAATTGGAAAAGATTTATTTATACTCTAAAAAAAGCTTGGAGTGATATTATCATGGTGATTAGAAGTTTAAGAAATTTGTAATTTTAGATTACATTAAGGTTATTATTTTTAAAAATGTTTAAAAAGTTACAAAATAAATGAGTTTATTGATTTTTTTTGTTTAATTTTTTGTTATAATTTGGACAAGATGGAGTAGGGTTTTTTACAAAATAAAAATAAAAATAGAAGGGTTGTTTGTCAAAAAAAAGTGAAAGAAAGTAAAATCATAAATCATCTTATGATGCATATTTAATTGGTGGATTTTATTTTGTTACATGATCCATGTTTGTAATTCTTAAGTAAAAATCATTTTTGATATTTTAGTTTGGTTTGTGCATAAGTTTATTTAGAAAATTAGTTTGTTTCAAAATGATCCTTTCATTGATATGTTACCTCTCTGCCCCCTTTGAAACAATGTTGTATAACTATTACGAGTGTCATGTCTGATATTCGTGTCAACGCTTCGATGTTTTCTAAAAGCCTTTGGTTGAGAATGTTTGATGTTTAATCACAATTGTGCTAATTTCATACACTTTTAGGTTTACAAGAGGTATAGACAATACTACCAACAGATGCAATCAGTGGTAACGTCGTTCGAGTACGTTTCGGGTCTCAACAACGCAGCTCCGTACGCAAGTTTGGCGATAAAAGCCATGTCAAAACATTTTAGATGCTTGAAGAAGGCAATTACTGACCAACTTCAGTCCAATAACAAGGCTCATTTTCACTCGAGCAACAGGAGGGACGAATCTACGAGATTTGGAAGTAACGAAAGAGGAAGTCCTTACAGCCACAGGTCAGGTTATCTTGAGCAGCAGCAACAACCTGTTTGGCGACCTCAGAGAGGACTTCCCGAGCGTGCTGTCACTGTTCTTAGAGCTTGGCTGTTTGAACACTTTCTGCATCCGTAAGTGCCTTTTTCTGTTTCATTCTTGTCGAACAAGTAATGTCTTGATCCGTTTTGATACACCTTGAAAGACATGATGATGTTTCTTTCTCCGTTGAAACTCGAGATATATGTACAAGATTTTATGGTTGTGTTGCGTGGGATATTTGATATTGCGGAAAATTGCAGACCAATGCATTTGATGCAACACAGCTACAATGGCGGTCTCAATAGTCTTTTTGACTTCAAAAGCCTTGACATTGTAGTTGCAATTGTTGTCGCGAATACGAATTTAATCATAGCATCGATTAACATTCGTTCCTTCTTTTCTGCGCTTTAGGTTTGTTGCATTGGATTGCTTATTTTGTGTTCATTGTGCAGATACCCTACCGATACAGATAAGATAATGTTAGCTAAACAAACCGGTCTATCACGTAGTCAGGTATGGTTTATCTCGATAATAAACAATCCTTCATCTTAACGAGTGTATAATCGATATATTTAACTAAATAAGTCTCTCTCAGGTGTCGAATTGGTTCATAAATGCGAGAGTAAGGCTTTGGAAACCAATGGTGGAAGAAATACACATGTTAGAAACTAGACAAGCAGCCCCAAAAGATTCACAACAGAAGGAAGAAAATTCTCGAAACAAATCAAATGATCAACACCATTTGCCTTCAGATACTTCTCTACAATCGGAGAATCCGGCTACCTCAACTAGTAAGTTTCCTGACTCATCATCTTACAAGCGCGTCATAAACGAAATTCCAAACATACCAACTAGGACTCAAGGGCAACAACATCATCAACAACAACAAATGAATCTACCTTTTCAGCAAGTAGGTGTTGGAGTGAACATGGGAAGTGGAAGCAACACCAACAATAATAATAGTAATAGTAATGTGTCATTGACACTAGGACTTTATCAAAATCATGGAATTGGTTTAGCTGAACCATTTCCATTAAGTGCTGCTCAACGTTTTGGTCTTGGTCTTGAAACCAATAATGAAGGTAATTATGTTATGAGTGGTTTTGAATCACAAAATAGGCATTTTGGAGGGCAAATGTTTCATGATTTTGTAGGATGAAGATTTTTTTTCTCAATATAATTATAACTTGTATGTACTTTTTATTTTGATTGTGGAGTGATATTTTATATACTAACCATGTTTCTCTTGTGCTTTTATAAATCATTAGAAGTTAGGAAATAAAATGAGCTATTGAAATATTGAACATTATGCTACTTTCTTGTTTGTGGAGTAAATGTTGTTTTTATTAAGCTTACATGACAAAGACACTAATATCTTTCTTGAACACCAGGATCACACCCTTTAACAGACATTATCGCAACAAAATTGTTCTCATATCATCATAGAAAAAAATTACAAAATTGTTCTCATATCATCATAGAAAAAAAAATGATCTATTGGTGAAATTTATAGTGTAAAAATCAGTATGATTTGGGAGCTATTTTCAGCTTGATGCATGTTTGGGAGTAATCAAATAATTAGAATATTTTTTTAAGTGGAATACTTTCTCAAATATGTTAAACCGATAATAAATAAAACTAATTTCAGAGGATGATAATAACAACAATAGAAAAAAAATTTAGGTAGAAAAGTTTCTTTAAAGTGAGAATAAAAAGCACGGGATCTAGTACAGTAAAACTTTACACTAAATCAATAATAGAAATACAAAAAGTTTTACTTTATATACAAAAAGTTTTGCTAGTAACATTAAGAAATAACAATCTTCGTCAATAAACAATAAAGATGAGAAAACTCACTTCAAACAACATCTCAACAATTGTCGGTATACCAAAACAATTTTAAGAGAAGACAAAACTACTCAATAAAAATGTCAATAAAATTAGCTGAGTGATAGGAACAACATATTGAACTTGTAGTTTAAATTGATAAGATTTGCTACACACCCTTCTATATGTCTTTTTCTCTTCTCGGAAACGTTGTGTTTTTCTCTGAAACCTTTATAAATTGTTTTTTTTTTGGTATTGTTTTAGGGATTAAAAAATCTCTTGTCAAATGTGTTTGGCTCAAATAAAACAAATCTAATTTTTTTTAATTCTTTTTCACTATTTTTTTATTTTTCTAAATAAATAATGGGTCCCACTTTAAGAGTGAGTCCATCCTACAAATCTTTCCTTCACAACTCAAGCGGAAAAGAGTTGCTCTGCCATGCCTGCCTTCTTCTTGCAGTTGATCATCTTTGTTGCAGAAAAAGTCTGTCATTATATCCCAACCATTCTTGTCAGTATGAATCTTTTCAAGTTAAAACAACTTCGTCTCTAATGTATCTCATATCCAATAATACCACATTTTAATGTGCTTTGACCTGAAGTGAAACTTCAAGTTCTTACCAAGATAAATTGCACTCTGACTGTCACAAAACATCACAAATTTCTCTTTCTCAACACCTAACTCTTGAAATAATTTCCTCATCCACATAAGTTCTTTATTCGCTTCAATTGCTGCAATATACTCAACCTCGATAGTAAATAAAGCAACACACTTTTGTAATCTTGATTGTCAAGACTCCGCCCCCTGTAAAAAGCACCACGTATCTAGAAGTAGATTTTCTGCAATCAATATTGTTGCACCCCAAAATTCGCCCTCTTCAGTTTAATCTAATTGGCTTACTTTTCTCTAACATACTCATGCATACATATCATCGATTCCATGGTTACAGGATCAAAGCATTTATCTGCATCAGACTACAAAAACAATTGTTCCATCAGGCAGTACAGCAAAGCAGAAACTCAGGGTTTTTGAGATTCAAGTGCACTCCACATATTTTTCTGAGCTACTCAATCACTAAATCATCAAGTCATCATCATGCCAAGCTCTCAGGTGTTCTAACATGCCTTCAATTGCAAGGAAAATCAAGTGTTTCAGTTGGTTTGAGACAGTTTTGACTGAAAATCAAGATTTTTCAGTTTATGTTCAAAAATTTATAACTTTCGTCTGGAAAATTATTTTTTAGTTGGTCTTTGAGCGTTGAAACCGTCTCGACATCCTCTTCATTTCATTTGTTTGGTTCGGAAACTAATTCTTTGAAGAAGATCTCCGAAACTGCGAAATATGTCGAAAATCTCATGCTAAAGTGAATTTCTGGTCAACTGTTGCGCCATATTGCAAAAATCACAACTTTCTCAATTTTCAACATTTTGAGACGATTCTAGAAGCATGATGTCAAAAATTTTGTTTGTTAAAACTTTGCTTCAGGTGTCGAGTTCGAACTGTGTTCCGAAGGCTTCGGTATATAGTTATTTTCTCAAATTGCACGGTGGAAAACCCGCGCAACCAAAAAGACGGAAATCTGGCTGCAAGTTTCTCACTATTGTGAAACTCACAAGTCTCTCGATTTTTATTGTATCGGGTTAATTTTTTTGGCACGAAGTTACAAATTTCTTCATCTACATTTTTTCTTCAGGACTCGGGTTCAAATTATGCACTGAAAGTTATGAGCTTGTGGTTTGTTCTCGAACTGTACACAAAAATAAGCTGAAAATTTCGCATTACCAAAAAACAAGGGAAAACTAGTTTTTTATTCTATTTTCCAAACAAGGCCCAAGAGCTCAATTATATATTCTTTCAATTTAATTTCAAGGACTTTTTTTTCCCATTTTTCACAAAATCAAGTCAAGAACTCAAGAATTCTCAAACTCTCTCAAGTGCAAGTGAAGAGCTCTTCTCTCTCTCCCCCCTCTCTCGTCGGCCTTTCACCCCTACCGACCGAGCACCAAGCCCAGCCGCCCGAACCTCTCCCCCGCGACCGCACAGCCCGACCAGAACCTCCTCCGAACTGGTCTCCTCCGCTGCCGGCACCTCTCGAAATCGATCTCTTTCTTCCGGTCACTTCTCCATTCTCCAATCCAACTTCTTCGCGTTGATTTGGTAATTCTTGAACTCTTGAATTTTGCTTGATTTAAGTGTTTAATCTATTAATTGATTTTGTGAATTAAGTGCTTATTTGACCTTGCATGAGTTGAATTTAATTGAATTATGAGATTAAATGATTCTTGAGATTTATAATTATGGACAATTATGGAATCGGATGATTAATTGCTTAATTGTTTGAATCTCATGTATCGACGCGGTAATTTTGTTGATCATTGATTTTATGCGTCAAAGCTTGATTCTGATTCGATAATTGTTGATAATTGTTGAATTTTATGAGTTGATTATTATTTTCGAGTTGATTATGTGATATCGACGCGTTGATAATTTTTGTTTCAAAGCTTGAGAATCGGTGTACCGATATTGATTTAATATTTTCAATTTATTTGTGAATTTCAAGTAACGTTACATGTATCGATGTGTGTTGATTTTTACGCGTTAAACGCTATTTTCCAATTGATTTTTAGTGGACATCGATACAGGTAAAGTTGCTGCTCGGAATTAGTAAATACATGTAAAACGTTGCATTTAATTACCAGTTCGGGCATATTTAGCTTTCAGTTGTTGATTGTTGGCTATTGTTGATGAGTTTTGATGATTTTCATTCGACATTTCGAATACTTCATGAGATTAATGCAATGATGTCCGAAATTTGTTTTTGCATGTACATTGTGATTTAATTGTTGCTTGATGTATACTTGAGTTTCATTTGATGGATAATTGACATCGGTGCCAAGTTCGGTTGATTTTAATCCGACTTTTTGAGCCGTTTATGAGATAAAAAGTTTCTGCCCAGAACTTTGTTTTATGGTTCCAATGCTTGTTCAGAGGTTGTTTCTTCGTGATTAAACTTCAATTTGAGTTGTAATGTGGATGTGTAGCTTCAGTTACGTTTCCTTGTTATTACTAACTCGTCTCGTGAACTTGTGCAAGCTTCCGAAGGTGTCTCGATACATGAGACTTGAGATCCGATTTTGTTTTGACGAGACTTATATCTTATGCAGGATTATTTGTTCGATATTCAGATATTGGTTGTGATTTATTTTCACATCCTTTGACGCTTATTCCAAGCAATTGATTTCTAACTCTTTTCTTTGATTGGTGAAGCTCTCGCGAAGATCTTCGGGTTTCTTGCTTTGATACGCTTTGCTACAGACATTATTGTTCGTTTGGTATTTTTCTGATGCTATTTTGATTTTGCATTGTATTTTAAATTTCTTGCCATGAGAAGTAGGAATAGAGATGCATGAGTTGAAGAGCTACCTTGTAGGCATTGTGAAACTTGTTTGTTTACATTCTTGTTAATAAAAGACTTCAAAAAAGGGAAACTTTGTGTGTTTGTTTAAAGTCCCCAAAAAGAGACAATTTTGCTAAAGACCTCAAAGAAGGAAATTCCCTTCCCCTTTTATTTTGTGCTTGCAATCGAGTCAATAAAAGCGAAAAGGGCTTGAAATCGGCCTTTACACTTTCTAGTTCGTGTCATTCATAGCTCATGTCATACGTTGATGCTTTGAATTGTCCATCTCTTGTCATTGTGTCAAATAAATATGGAAAGGGATCACAATCACCCCCACACCTTGGAGATTCAGCCTTAGTCATCAGCCAGATCAAAGGAGAATGGGACACGAAGCACCCTAACCTTATCCCCTACAAAGAACATGTGTTGACATTAATCCCACATTTCGAGGAAATTACCTTTGAGCATTTTCCACGAGAGGAAAACCAACCAGCAGACGTGCTAGCCACAATGTCATCCATGTTTAAACTCAAGTGGGGTAACGAGGCTCCCCAGATCACCATTGATCGGATGGATGAACCAGCTTACTGTCACCAGATCGATACTGAAGAAGTAGTGTACCAGCCTTGGTTCCATGAAGTCAAGAGGTATCTCGAGGCTCAAGAGTATCCGGAAGGAGCTTCAGCCAATGATAAGAAGTTATTGAGAAGATTCTCTGCTAATTTCTTCATCAGTAATGCCATTCTTTACAAGCGCAACCATGAATCTGTTTTCCTTCATTGCCTAGACAAGGTTGAGGCAGAAAAGGTCATGGCTGATCTACATGAAGGCACTTTTGGCACCCATTCCAGTGGGAACACGATGGCTAAGAAGATCATACGGGCAGGTTATTACTGGTCTACCATGGAAGCAGATTGCTATCAGCATTCACGAA